CTGGGAAAAAGCTAATATATAAATAAAAACAATTTTTATTTGTTTACCTGCATGTCATGTGACCCATAACTGACATCAGAGAACACTGAACATGTGAACGTGTTGTTAAAATTACTAAAATATTAATTAGACTTCAGGAAAATATTGTAGCTCAAAGTGGTTCGGCTGACAGAAAAGATCAGGACTGCCTGCTTTATTTTATTGCTAATGCTTCTGCATTCTCAGATTAGTGCAGGCATACAAAACAATATGATTTATTATCAAACACATGCTCATGTTTTATTGTAGTTCTCACAGACTGTGAGAATATCATTGACATATTTATAAATCTTTAATTCAGCGGTTACTGGAGGAAAACCATTTGGCAGGTCACAGTGTCATTCTGTCCTCTCTCCTGATTGGTTAATGTTTGTTTTATGCTAATTGTTCTGTTAGATATGGGTGTTTGAGGCTGTAGTTTCAGTGTGAGAAACAAAACCAATGGAATCATCCGCAGCAGACAGTAAGTATAAATAACTGTTTAGGCTGTTAGGGGTCTAATGGTTCATAAATCTCATGGTTTGGTTTATTTTGTGATTCTCAGGTCATCATTTTGATTTGGTCAATACTTGGAAGGTTGTGATTATGAGTTTACCATAATCTCAGATTAAATATGAAGTCGATAACTGATATTTTAATACTGTGATCAGACAATATTTTGACTGTTTTTGTGTTGTTTAAAGAGCAGCTCATATGGGTTTTTAAAAAATATCTCTTTTGCAGTTTATAATGTAGCTATCCTTAAATTAAAACAATCTGCAAAGTTGTTAATCAAAAAAGTGCATGATAAATAAAGATTCTGAAACACACAGACACACACACACACACTCACACGTGTGAGAGTGTGTGTGTGTGCGTGTGAGAGAGTGTGTGTGTGTGTGTGATCAGGGATCAATGTGTCCGGAGGATCAGAGTCCCGTGTGCAGCCCATGGTGAAGATCGAGAGGATTTTCCCAGGAGGAGCTGCATCTGCTAGTGACGCTCTGCAGGTAACAGACGAAGCTCTGTCGAACTGAGTGTGTGTGTGTGTGTGGTTCAGTGTGAGTCAGTGGATCTGCTCTGTGTGTCTCAGGCTGGTTTTGAGCTGGTGTCGGTGGACGGCGTCTCTCTGCAGGCCATGACCCATCAGGACGCAGTGGAGATCATTCGACAGGCCTTCAGTAATAAAATCATCAACCCCATGGAGCTCGTGGTCAAAGTTCCCAGAGTCTCATGATCAGTGCCTTACCCGTATGTATTAGGCTCTGAGAAGAGCCACACTCATTCTAGAATGAAGAACGAACGCAGCGACTGAGCGAGTCTCATGAAAACACAGAAGGGTGAGAGATTCACTCACGTCACATTCGCTTGAGCTTGAACTCAGAATATGTGTTTAAAACATGCTTTATGAACGGCCACAAATCCAGTAGCGTTCTACAGATTGTTCTGGAATCAGATTGGTAAGAAAAATGTAGGTTATAAGAACATTGTAGGAACGTTGTTTTATGTTTCTAAAACACTGAAATGTCCAGTTTTCTTGTCATGATTAAAACATTATTTAAAGGTTACAAAAACGTTTCTTACAACATTCTGCTAATTGTATTTTTTCCCAGAATATAACATTATTTAAAAGTTAATTTTTTTATGTTCTAAGAGCGTTATTTAAATGTTTCTTAGAACTTTCAAGTGCAAATAACATAAGAACATTTTGTGAATGATCTCAGAACATTGAGACCGTATATTAAACATTAATGAAGCTATAAGATCGTTCCATGAACGTTATTTTAATAATACTTTGTCGTAGAATTTCTTAGTCATGAACGTTCCTCAGAAATCACATCCAACAAAATGCAACTTTAACCTGTTTGTTAATTAGAATAAATCCTGGTTTAATTGCTCACATGACATTTATTGTGATAAATGTTGATTTATTACAAAGATCAGTATTCATAAAATATTGGCTGAGGCTGTTTAAGAACGTAAATATTGAATAAAATACCAGTAAATGTGAGTCATTGCAGGTGTTTAATTACAAACAGCTCATAGGAACATTAAATATACAGCACGAAAAATATACAATGCATTGGCTTTATACAAATACTGTTAATTAATAAAAAAATTACAATACCGCCACAATCACCCACAAGATACAAGCAAGGCTTTGGTCTATTCACAGTGGCTTCTATATGGTGCGCTTCTATATATTATTGAGTATTATGTGACCGAATGTGTGGAGTAATGGGTTTATTTTGATGTAAATATAACAGTCAATAGCTTTTATGAAAGAAGAGATTATATTCCTCACATTAGTGTTAAATAGCGCCGCGTTCAGCTCGTGTCAAAATTACCACAAGAGATTCTGCTTGCTGCTCATGTCCTTCAACTCTGAAATTAATTGAGTTATATATATATATATATGTTTTAACACCAGTATGAATGCATGTGCAGCTTTGTAGTCGATTAGGAGCAAAATACTTCATAAATGAAGTATAAACGAACCTTCACCATTTTATTTTTTTACATGAGGGCAGCTTGAGTTCCTAACTTTGTAATTATGAGTTCAACAAAGACATGAGCAGCGTTTACTAATCAGACACTCGGTTACAGTAATTCTGACACGACACGATCGCAGTATAACTGTACTTTTGGAATCGAGACTCTGAGCAGAACTCTCTCAGTGCTGATGAGTAGCAGATTTTAAACCGCTGGATGGAAACGCCAAGATGCACATAAAATCTTAAAATGTGCTTGAAAAAAACGGATGCGCTCTGTTGAGATGGATGCGTTTTTTTATTTGGCACAAAAACATGTGCTTAAAGGAGACATATTATGCCCCTTTTTACAATATGTAATATAAGTCTCTGGTGTCCCCAAAATGTGTCTGTGAAGTTTCAGCTCAAAATACTCCACAGATCATTTATTACATCATTCTGAAAATGCCTATTTTGAGTGGAAGCAGAAACACGCTGTTTTCGTGCCTGTCTCTTTAAATGCAAATGAGCTGCTGCTCCCCTCCCCCTTTTCCTGTATAGAGCTGTGCCTTTACAGCTCGCACCTGCTAAAAACATCTGTTTTGGTTCTGATTATCATGTTTATCGCGCTGAAATCATGCGTTTTAAACCATATGAGTTTAAACTTCTGATATAGGGTTTTCTGAGCGCACACATCTGAAGCACACGCACAGAAAGCGGCTGTCACAGCATGCGAGCACTAAACTAAGCTCTCATTCACACAAGTTTACGTTACAAACACACATGAGTTACAAAAACAGTGGGTTATGTCTGTGAAGGTAAACAGCTGGGAAATAAATCGCATGTTTATTTTAGATCTGTGTGGCAGCAGCAATATACAGTAAATAAATCAATAAATGCTCTGCTCTGTCGTCTCCTCTGAGGCTGGGACTCTAAACAGTGTTCTGTGCTCGTCTGTGCAGCCAAACACAGAACAGTTAGTGTGTTTTCCTCAAACTTTCACCATGGCTTTAGAGCTGATACACCGTTGTCGCTTGTGAAAACATGATAACTGCGCCGTGGGTGGAAACTTACAGATTAAGGGGCGGTGATATTATAATGAGATCCTTTTGCCTCGTCACCAAGAGAGCGAAATCAGACGCGCTGGTTTTCTCAGATGCTTGCAGAAAAAGGCGTCCCTTACGGGTTTAATCTTTTTCACGTTTCCTTGGTAGTTAGATGCACCGGAGACCTGATTATAGCACTTACAACCTGGAAAAGTCAGATTTTCATGATATGTCACCTTTAA